AAAGCTCTCGGATTTTATCAAAAATATCTTAATTTGTGTTCTGAAGATGAACAAAGGGCTTTCGGGTTTGGAACTACATGAGGGTGAGTAATTAATGACATAATTTTTATTTTTGGGTGAACTATCCCTTTAAAATTATTGGGAGAGTTTTGATGATGTTAGTCCTATTTGCATTAATATGGTGATCATCCGTAACTACGATCACAGCGGTGCGGCTCAAGCCATCGAATACATTTTTAGTAAATGCACGTGCTGCTCCACTTCCAAAGGTGCATGACTTCAAAGCAACTCAGGCACGTCTTTACTGACGTCTTCATGAATCTGAGGAAGCTTGATGTGATGTTCAAACTCCATCAGGTGCTTTTTGAGGCTTTTCATAGAATTTATTACATAGGTTGTCCAAGTCTTTTAGGTGAAGCATGTTTCATTTTTATTTTATATGAAGTTTAGCCTATCAGTTAAAATTAGAATTGATTTATATAAGATTTAACACTATTTGCCTAAAGTTGTTTTGTATATATTTTCTGATGATATATAAAACCAAAAGCTGAAGATTTTTAATTTTTTTGGGGTGTACCATTCATTAGTGTCTTCGCAAATATACATGATCACTACACTAAACTGGGGCCCGTTCTTCGTACGTCGCTTATTACATCCGAGATGAAATGTCACATCCAAGATGATATCATCGCGCTAATCAGGATCTGGCTAATTCGGTTCTTCGAACGCAGCTGTTGTTGATGATTAGTCTGGCTGGATTGAGTTATCTGAGATAATTGCGCGTTCATGGGTTGGTTTAAAAGGGGCTATGTATCGATACTCGAAACCACGATCAACAATGCAGCGATTAGCTGGCGGCAAGACAACAACGTAATGACATCATATAATAAAAAAAACACCTGACGAAAAACTTGACAAATTTCTGGACTTTTATAAGGAAACAGCCAAGCGAACAAAACTACATAAATGTTATAATAGATAAATGTTATCATGTTCAAGACCATGCGATGTGCTACTCCAATCATGCGCTCCCACACTCCACCCACGTGTGAAGAGTGGGGAGGATTGGAGATCCTGATACCATGATATCAAGATCATGTTATCTGCATCTCCTGCGCTCAATCAAGCCACTTCCATAATAGCTGTCGTCACTCAAATTAATGCACGACTCTACATTATCTGTATAGCATGTGTGTAAAACTCTAATACAATTATGAAGTAATTATTTTATGACGAATAAATCTT